CGGCGCCCAGCCTACTTCCTACACAGCTACAGTCTGCCTACTAATTGACAATGCAACTGTTGACGTCAGCAGCCCACGAAGTACTTGAAGATGTCACCCATAGCAGACCATCGCCAATACCAGGTATGTGCCCTCACATCATCATCATCATCATCCTTCTCTCTCTGCCTCTTCTTACTCCCACGTCTTCCCTCTGTATACCCGAAGACCACCCCTGCGCCTCACTGTAGTCCAAGCCCAACCAGCTATGGAGGCTGGGCTATGGCGCTGCCCTCAGCAGCACCCTGCTCTCTGCACGACCGCACGCGGTAGCACCTTGCCTCTCAGTGCCAGCGGCAGCCCACGAGCGTCCGCTCCAGCAGTGCTGCCGCTAGCATGCGAGTGCCTGAATGAGAGGCCAGGCAGCGAGCTCTTCCCTATATGGAATGAGCTGGCCTGCCTTCGCAGCCTGGCTGGCCTGGGCCTCGGCCCAGAAGCTTCTGGTAGGACCCAGGATGCTGCGCCTCTGTTGCAGCTACTGGGCCTCATTCGGTTGGGCCTCCCAACTGTCTGTGTATGAGGCTGCGATTCTCATCCAGGGCCTGCATCATTTTGGAAAGGCCTGGAAGGCCGTGGAAATGTCCCGCTGCTCGGTCTGTGTTTTCCTCAACCAACTGGCGCGATGAAACTGCCTGGACCCCAAATGCGATATTGACAGCTTAGGGCCTCTAGTGATTTGTCAGGCCCGCCTTCACTTAGGGCGGGCACATCTGTAGCAAGAGGCCCCCTAGGCCTGCCGAGGACCCAGATCCTCACACTCTGATTTTTTCATGCCTAAAAAAAGTTCTAAAACACTATGAATCTTATCCACTTATCAACATCTCCACAACTTTTTACTTTCTCCTTTTTTTTTTTTTCTCCTCCGTGAAAGGGAATAACAAGCAGCAAGCTAAAAAAATCACAAATCATTGAAATCATTGATCATTGTATGTGCGGCCCGATGCACTGCACCCTCAGCTTTCTTAGAAAGCAAGGTCTTGACTCTTGAGTTTTCTTAGCTTTTCTATCCCTTTGCCTGTCAACCATCATTGCGCTTCGTCTGAGTGGGCAACCCCCCCCCCCCCCCCCCCCCCCC